TAGAGGAGAGGACAGGAGATAGAGGAGAGGTGATGAGTCGAGATGATACGCGAGGAGTGGAGAGGAGAGGAGTGGAGAGGAGAGGAGAGGAGAGGAGAGGAGAGGAGAGGAGAGGAGAGGAGAGGAGAGGAGAAGTCAGCAGAGCAGAAGAAGGGAGAAGTCAGGAGAGTAGAGGGACAGGTGAGGAGAGGAGAATGGAGAAAGAAGTCAGGAGAAAAATCAGGACAGGTGAGGAGAGGAGAGGAGAGGAGAAGAGAGGACAGGAGAGGAGAGGAGAGGAGAGGAGAGGAGAGGAGAGGAGAGGAGAGGAGAGGAGAGGAGAGAGAGGCGAGGAGAAGAGGGTGATGAGAGGAGAACAGAGGAGAGGAGAGGGGAGGGCAGGGGAGGGGAGGGGAGGGGAGGAGAGGAGAGGAGAGGAGAGGAGAGAGGAGAGGAGAGGAGAGGAGAGGAGAGGAGAGGAGAGGAGAGGGGATCGAGGAGAGGAGATGAATGAGAGGAGAGTAGAGGAGAGGTGAGCAGAAGACAGCAGAGGATGTACAGGAGAGGACAGGAGATAGAGGAGAGGAGAGGAGGGTAGATAGAAGAGAGGAGATGACGAAGTGGGAGAGGAGATGAGAGGTCAGGAAAGGAAACGTGAGGAGAGGAGAGGAGAGGAGAGGAGAGGAGAGGAGAGGAGAGGAGAGGAGAGAAGAGGAGAGGAGACGAGAGGACAGGAGAAGAGACAAGAGAGAGCAGAGGAGAGGAGAGGACAGGAGAGGAGAGGAGAGGAAAGAAGAGGAGTGGAGTGGAGAGGAGAGGAGAGGAGAGGGGGGTAGGGGAGCGGACGAGATGGGAAAGGAGGGGAGGAGAGGTGAAGTTAAGAGAGGAGAGGACAAGAGAGGAGAGGAAAAGAGAGTTGAAGACTGGAGGGGAGAAGTCAGGAGAGGTGAGGTGAGGAGAGGAGAGGAGAGGCGCGGAGGGGAGGCGAGAGTAAAGGAGAGGAGAGGAAGGTAGAGTGGAGGAGAAGAATGGAGATAGGAGTGGAGAGGAGGAGAAGAGAGGAGAGGGCAGGGGGAGTGGAGGGGAGGAGAGTAGAGGAGAGGAGATAGAGGAGAGGAGATGTCTGATAGGAGAGTAGATGAGAGGGAAGAAGAAGAGAGAGCAGAGGAGTTAGAGGAGAGGACAGGAGATAGAGGAGAGGATAGGAGAGGAGAGGAGAAATAAGTAGACGACAAGTCAGGAGAGTGGAGAGGAGAGGAGAGGAGAGGAGAGGAGAGGAGAGGAGAGGAGAGGAGAGGAGAGGAGAGGAGAGGAGAGGAGAGGAGTAATCAATAGAGGAGAAGTCCGGAGAGGTGACGAGAGGAGATGACAGGAGAGGAAAGGAGAGGAGGGGACGGGAGGTGATGGGAGGGAAGAGGAGGAGAGGGGAGAGGACAGAAGAGGAGCGGAGAGGGGAGGAGAGGGGAGGAAGGGGATGGGATGGGAGGAGAGAGAGAAGAGAGAAGAGGACGGGAGGCGAGAAGAGAAGAGAGGAGAGGAACAAGAGGAGGGAGGCGAGAGGAGAGGAGAGGAGAGGGGAGGGGAGGGGAGGGTTGGAGAGGAGAGGAGAGGAGAGGAGAGGGGAGGAAAGGAGAGGAGAGGAGAGGAGAGGAGAAGAAAGGAGAGGAGATAGAGGAGAGGAGAGGGGAGGAAAGGAGAGGAGAGGAGAGGAGAGGAGAAGAAAGGAGAGGAGATAGAGGAGAGGAGATGACTGGGAGGAGTGTAGAGGAGAGGTGAGTAGAGGAAAGAAGAGGAGGTAGAGGAGAGGACAGGAGATAGAGGAGAGGAGATGAGTCGAGATGATACGCGCGGAGTGGAGAGGAGAGGAGTGGAGTGGAGAGGAGAGGAGAGGAGAGGAGAGGAGAGGAGAGGAGAGGAGAGGAGAGAAGGAGTCAGCAGAGCAGAAGAGAGGAGAAGTCAGGAGAATAGAGGGACAGGTGAGGAGAGGAGAATGGAGAAAGAAGTCAGGAGAAAATCAGGACAGGTGAGGAGAGGAGAGGAGAAGAGAGGACAGAAGAGGACAGGAGAGGGAGAGGAGAGGAGAGGAGAGGAGAGGAGAGGAGACGTGAGGAGGGGAGAGGAGAGGAGAGGGAGAGGAGAGCAGAGGAGAGGAGAGGAGAGGAGAGGAGAGGAGAGGAGAGGAGAGGAGAGGAGAGAAATGGAGAGGAGAGTAGAGGAGATGAGAGGACGGGAGATGAGGGGAAGTGAGGGGAGAGGAGGAGAGGGGAGAGAAGAGATCGTGAGAGGAGAGGAGCAGGGAGAGGAGGAAAGGGGAGGTGAAAGGAGAAGAGGGGAGGAGAGAGGAAGATAGGAGAGAAGAGCAAATGGGAAGGACAAGAGAGGAGAGGGGAGGAGAGGGGAGGACAGAAAAGGAGCAGAGAGGGGAGCATAGGGGAGGACAGGAGAGGAGAGGATAGGGTATAATAGGGGAGGAGAGGGGAAGAGAAGGAAGGAGAGGAGAGTAGAAGAGGGGAGGCGAGAGGAGAGGAGAGGAGAGGAGAGGAGAGGAGAGGAGAGGAGAGAGAGAGGAGAGGAGAGGAGAGGAGAGGAGAGGAGGGTGATGAGAGGAGAACAGAGGAGAGGAGAGGGGAGGGCAGGGGGAGGGGGAGGGGAGGAGAGGGAGAGGAGAGGAGAGGAGAGGAGAGAGGAGAGGAGAGGAGAGGAGAGGAGAGAGGAGGAGATCGAGGAGAGGAGATGAATGAGAGGAGAGTAGAGGAGACGTGAGCAGAAGACAGCAGAGGATGTACAGGAGAGGACAGGAGATAGAGGAGAGGAGAGGAGGGTAGATAGAGGAAGGAGAGGAGATGACGAAGTGGAGAGGAGATGAGAGGTCAGGAAATGAAACGTGAGAAGAGGAGAGGAGAGGAGAAGAGAGGAGAGGAGAGGAGAGGAGAGGAGAGGAGAGGAGAGGAGAGGAGAGGAGAGGAGAGGAGAGGAGGGGTAGGGGAGCGGACGAGAGTGGAAAGGAGGGGAGGAGAGGTGAAGTTAAGAGAGGAGAGGACAAGAGAGGAGAGGAAAAGAGAGGAGAAGTCTGGAGGGGAGAAGTCAGGAGAGGTGAGGTGAGGAGAGGAGAGGAGAGGAGAGGCGCGGAGGGGAGGCGAGAATAGAGGAGAGGAGAGGAAGGTAGAGTAGAGGAGAAGAATGGAGATAGGAGTGGAGAGGAGGAGAAGAGAGGTGAGGGCAGGGGAGGGGAGGGGAGGAGAGTAGAGGAGAGGAGATAGAGGAGAGTAGAGGAGAGGAGAGGAGAGGAGAGGAGAGCAGACGAGAGTAGAGGAGAGTAGAGGAGAGGAGAGGAGAGGATAGGAGAGGAGAGGAGAGGAGAGGAGAGGAGTGGAGAGGAGAGGAGAGGAGAGGGGGGGTAGGGGAGCGGACGAGAGGGGAAAGGAGGGGAGGAGAGGTGAAGTTAAGAGAGGATAGGACAAGAGAGGAGAGGAAAAGAGAGGAGAAGTCTGGAGGGGAGAAGTCAGGAGAGGTGAGGTGAGGAGAGGAGAGGAGAGGAGAGGCGCGGAGGGGAGGCGAGAGTAGAGGAGAGGAGAGGAAGGTAGAGTAGTGGAGAAGAATGGAGATAGGAGTGGAGAGAGGAGAAGAGAGGAGACGGCAGGGGAGGGGGAGGGGAGGAGAGTAGAGTAGAGGAGATAGAAGAGAGGAGATGTCTGATAGGAGAGTAGAGGAGAGGGAAGAGAAGATGAGCAGAGGAGTTAGAGGAGAGGACAGGAGATAGAGGAGAGGATAGGATAGGAGAGGAGAAATAAGTAGAGGACAAGTCAGGAGAGTTGAGAGGAGAGGAGAGGAGAGGACAGGAGAGGGAGAGGAGAGGGGGAGGAGAGGAGAGGAGAGGAGTAATCGATAGAGGAGAAGTCCGGAGAGGTGAGGAGTGGAGATGACAGGAGAGGAAAGGAGAGGAGGGGACGGGGGATGAGGGGAGGGTAGAGGAGGAGACGGGAGAGGACAGAAGAGGAGCAGAGAGGGGAGGAGAGGGGAGGAAGGGGATGGGATGGGAGGAGAGGAGAGGAGAGGAGAGGAGAGGAGAGGAGAGGAGAGGAGAGGAGAGGAGAGGAGGGGAGGCGAGAAGAGAGGAGAGGAGAGGAAACAAGAGGAGGGAGGCGAGAGGAGAGGAGAGGAGAGGAGAGGAGAGGAGAGGAGAGGAGAGGGAGAGGAGAGGAGAGGAGAGGAGAGGAGAGGGGAGCGGAAGGGAGGGGTGAAGAGGAAAGGAGAGGAGAGGGGGGAGGGGGGGAGGATAGGAGAGGGGAGGAGATACAGGAGAGGAGATGATTGAGAGGAGAGGAGAGGAGAGGTGAGCAGAGGACAGCAGAGGATATACAGGAGAGGACAGGAGATAGAGGAGACGATAGGAGAGGAGATAGAGGAGAGGAGATAACTGAGAGGAGAGGAGAGGATTGGTGAATAGAAGAGAGCAGAGGAGGTAGAGGAGAGGACAGAAGTTTGAGGAGAGGAGACGAGTCGAGGTGATAGGCGAGGAGTGGAGAAGAGAGGAGTGGTGAGGAGAGGAGAGGAGAGGAGAGGAGAGGAGAGGAGAGGAGAGGAGAGGAGAGGAGACGAGAGGAGAGGAGAGGAGAGGAGAGGAGAGGAGAGGAGAGGAGAGGATAGCAGAGGAGAGGAGAGGAGAGGAGAGGAGAGGAGAGGAGAGGAGAGGAGAGGAGAGGAGAGGAGAGGAGAGGAGAGGAGCAGAGTGGAGTGGAGCGGATCAGAGTGGAGAATGGATTGGAGAGGATATGAGATTTAGAAAAGGAGCAGACAGGAGGTAGAGGGGAGAACAGGAGGATAGAAAGAGGAGAGGAGATAACTGAGAGAAGAGTAGAGGACGAGGTGAGCAGAAGACAGCAGAGGAGGTAAAGGAAGAGGACAGGAGAAGAGAAGAAAGGAGAGTAGAGTAGAGTAGAGTAGAGGAGAGGAGAGGAGAGGAGAGGAGAGGAGACGAGACGAGACGAGACGAGAGGAGAGGACGGAAGAGGCGAGGAAAG